TGGGCTCAGGAAATAAAGAAAAAAAACATGAAGCCTAAGTGGGCTAAGCCTAGACAAGGCCTAAAAGGGGTAGGTTTGATTTGGGGCGCCCCAGCTACGATGGGTGTGTGGTATCGCCGAGGAAGAAGGTGGTGGTGTCTCAGCGGCGATGATATCAGTCCAAAACCAAGGTCGGAATCCACAAAACATTGACAGGAAATGATCACGATGTCGGAGAAGTCTAAAAACTTAAAGATTATTCGGGAATCTCTTAAATCCGTCCGAAAAAATCTGCCCACGAAGACGGCTGTGGGTCATCGAGTTTTGTGCAAATAATCTATTGGCATCGAGATTTCCACCTGGAAATATGGTGAATCCAGTGATGCAGGTGACAAAACGCCAGAAAAAGGCGTCGTCTCGAACCTGGGAGTGGTTCTGGGCATATGGGTTTTGGGGCAGAGCTAGCTTGGCTTCAGGTGGCTTAGGCGCGAATGCGGTTGCAAGCTGCGACTCCAGCACAACTATAGCGACCGGCTCAACTTGGCAGCACGGCTGCAAGCCATGACCCAGCCGAGGTTTCCTTTCCTTTTTTTATTTTTTCAATTTCTAGGGTTTAAAAAACCATGATTGCTTCTAATTTTTTTCAATTCTTTGACTCATATATTCCACATGACAAAAATTGAGTAATGCATGAAATGTGTGTGTGTGTGTGTATACACACACACGAAACCATATTAAACCCCATACCTATTCAAAGCACCAACATTTTAGAGTTCTTCCTTTCTTTCCTTCCCATTATGCTCACTGCTCTTCCTTTCTTTCCTTTCTAAACCTCAAATCAACGAAACCAACCATGAATCCCAGACGCCTTTTCACTATTGTTGTATGCCTTTCTCTCATCGCCTTGTTCTCCGCTTATAAGGATACCAAAAAAAAGACAACCCCATGCAATGAAAATGCGTCATCCACCATCCAATGTTCATGCGATCACTTCCGGTGATCATCCAATGGGAAACCAAGAAACCTTTGACCCTAATTTTTTTCAACGACTTATTTCGTATGAATTTCATATCCGATACCACCATCTGTTAACCAATTACCCACATTTTCCTTCTACTTCTTTGTGCTATTGATTCTTTAAGTCGCATCAAACATCTCATTAGACGTCCAGCTGATGGCAGTTTTGGTGGCTTTTATGATCTTCAAGAGTTTGAAGTACATCTTGGCAACGTACCTAAACACCCGCTGGTAAGAAAGTTTCTTTCTTGATATTCTTGCTTCATAATCAAATTAGAATTTCATGGAAGTGGGTGTTTTCATGGATTGTGTTTCTTTTTTGGGGAACTGGTTATTTTTTGTTGCTGTGAAATTTGGTTGTTGTTCTGGAGAAGTCGAGATTTCAATTCAATATTTTTGTTCTAATTGGTGTTATTAGAACAAAAATATTGAATTGAAATCTTGACTTTCCTAGAACAACAATCAAATTTCACAGCAACAAAAAGTAACCAGTTCCCCCAAAAAGAAACACAATCCATGAAAACACCCACTTCCGTGAAATTCTAATTTGATTATAAAGCAATAATATCAAGAAAGAAACTTTCTTACTGGCGGGTGATTAGGTACGCTACCAAGAAGATGTACTTCCAACTCTTGAAAATCATAAAAGCCACCAAAACTGCCATCAGTTGGACGTCCAATGAGATTTTCGATGCAACTTGGAGAATCAATAGCACAAAGAAGTAGACGGAAAAGTGTGGGTAATTGGTTAACAGATGGTGGTATCGGATATGAAATTCAGACGAAATAAGTCGTTGAAAATTTTTAGTGTCAGGGGTTTCTTGGTTTCCTGTCAGAAGATCACCGGAAGTGATCGCAGGAACACGGATGGTGGATGACGCATTTTCGTTGCACGGGGTTGTCTTGTTTGTGGTATCCTTATAGCCGGAGAACTAGGCGAGGAGAGAAGGGCATACAACAATGGTGAAAAGGTGTCTGGGATTCATGGTTGGTTTTGTTGATTCGAGGTTTGGGAAGGCAAGAAAGGAAGAGCAGTGAACAATGGGAGGGAAAGCTGTTTCGATTGATTGCTGTGCTTTTTTGGGTTTCTTCTTCTAGACGTCAAGCATTATAACCAAGCTTCGGCCTTTAGCAACTTGGCCCAAAATAATATTTCCCAAAAGAAGAGGTTTTTGATTTTGGCCCCATTTTTAAACAGTTTTCTTATTTTTTACTTACATGGAGATGTTGGGTTAAACAAACAATAAATGATTTTTGTATAAATTATGGGTTAAACAAACAATAAATGATTTTTGGATAAATTACATTTTAACACCTCAACTTTGGATCGCATAACAATCTCATACCTCATGTTTTAAATATTTCAATGTCTTACATTAACTTACGAATTCATTGCAATGGCATACGTCAATCAATTTTTCTATTAAATGCTGACGTGAATAATGCGATATCTAATCCTCGCTTAACTAAACGTCATGCTGGCTTGGATCCTCCATTGATTGACATGTGGAATAAAACAAATTTCAAACAAAATTTGAAAAATTTGAAAAAGGCTTATTATATTAACACCCCATAAATTGTTGAATAAACCCCACATAATTAATACACCCTCACATTTGCTTTTTCAATGAATAATTATCTTAATACACCCCACATACTTCTCCATAATATCTTCACACCTCACATTCTCAGTATACACCTTACATTTTCTTCATACACCCCATATTTTCTATGCACCCCACATTTCTCAAATCTTATAAAGCTTTTAATTTGGACAAAAAATGCCGACTGGAATTTTAACAAAAGGTGCTACCTGGGATTTAAAGCATATGTGAGTTGTTTTGAATTCCACCATTAAAACTCATGTCGTTTGTTTTGAATATTTGGTAGTAATTTTAGGTGTTTAATTCTTTATGTAATCTCTGTGATCCCTAAAAGATGAATATGAACATAGAAACTTGAATAACGCAGCAAAAGTAAGATTAAATAATTATTGATGTCGTCAAAATCACTACAACAATAAAAAATATAAAGTCTTACCTCATTTGAAGCTTCAGAAAAATCGATTTTGTTTTATTCATCAAAAATATTTTTTCTCAATCAATACGTTTGTAGTTTCATTAGTTAGAGTTTTGTTCAACAATGCAGGGTCGGAGAGATTTTGATAGTTGAAGAAGATAAATAATATATTAAAAATGATTTGGGGTGTATTTAGATTTTTTTTTTTTAAAAACCCTAATAAGGTCAAAATTGTGATTGCATAGTAAGGTAAATAAATAATTTAATATTAAATTTTAATGTGGGATGCATTCAACATTTTGTGGGGTACTAATATAAAATGTCATTGAAAAATTAAAATTTTAAAGTTTTTTCTGGTCAAAATTGTTTTAAATTTTAAAAATAATAAAATCGTGCCCCCAGCCAAAAACACCACCACACTCTCGGGAACCCTAATCCCCAATTGCCAACAAAAAGATTCCCCCTGCCGCTCCAAATCTCGATCCTCACTTCTCTCAAACACCATCTCGACCTCCACCTCCTGCCTCCTACGGATCTCGCTGATCTCAGTCCATCTCTCTCGATCTCTTTGCTTCTTCTCTACATCTCAGACCTCTCGCTCCCTTGTTTCTCTCAATTTGACGGCGGCTCATCTCTTCCGTCATTTCTCTCGATTTGATGGCGAGGACCACTCCATCCCCTTCAAACACGTCACACCCAGCACCTCTTCTCCCAGAAACTCAACCATCTGGTCCTAGCCGAACCCGTCACTCTGCAGCCACATGAACCCCTCCGATTGGCCTGGGAACCAAAACCCTTTGGGCACAACTCTGCACAGAATCACACACAACTGGAAAAGTCCTAGAACGCCCAGAGACTGCTCCAACGGCTACAAACACTAGGAACTTCTTGAATGTAAACCATGAAATTTGTTATTTTTAAACACTCACTCACGTAAATTTGGAAATTACATTTGAGGTCTCAAATTTCATGTTTTTTTCACATAGAAATTTTAAATTTATATATTTATAAATAAAAAAATTTGTGCATGTGAATTTATAAATTTTGACTTTTGTTAAAATTCTAACTTTATTTCTATCATCCAAATATAGTGTTAGGTTAACCAAACAAAAAAATTCATAAGTTATAGAAGATAAAATTCCGTCATTTCTATTTTTAACATTTTGAAATTCCTTAATAATATTAAATTTTCTCATCCAAATACAGTGTAAAGTTTCCCAAATAAGTTAGGATTCTTATATTGACATTTACTGTTTTGCTTAACTTCAAGGAATATTATTCGTTCTCGTCTGACTGAAAAAAAAAATGTTGTATCTTTTGTTTTCTTATTAATCATCATGTGGCATTTGAAGCAAAACCATGCACTACATTTGCCTACTACCCAATGAAATGAACGTTTTGTGGAAACATTTTTATGTGGTCTCATAGGGAAAGGTTGTAAAAAGTTGAAAGGCAAAGTATGTCTTCAATCCATCCTAGCCAGATTGTAAAGATATTAAGGCCAATCACCCCATGTAAGAAATTTCCTGCGAAGGATGGAAGCTGACATTTTCAGGATTTTAAGATGTTAAAGGTGCCAAGGTCGTGTGCACAAGCAGAATCGTAAAACAGCGTCGGAAGATGCTATGAGAATACCAATTAGGACAACCAAATAAAAGTTAATACACCAATCGAGTTACCATACGTATCTATTAACGGGTGTATATAGCGTCCACCTCAATAATATGTTCATGTTGGTCAAGTGACCAATTAATCATTGCTATTACACCCTATTAAATGCATTAATTTCTTGTCATTGCGATTGATAAAATGTTATATGCCACATGATAGCATGATAGAAGCAAAGCGGTAAAAATTAACTTTGTTCTCTTCCATTCATCATTCAACATGGCCAACTTGGTAAGGAAGCTGGCTGAAATACAGACATAGACCCTTATGCATAGGGCTTTATTTGCATCAAATTTTTTCTTTTATAGAACCTCGGGTGATACGAGAGAAATTTATTGATATAAAAAAAAATTACACTTATTCAGGAGATATAAACCATAACAGTATCTCTCATAAAGCAAGAAAATCAAAATATAAGAAAAAGGGGGTACACTTAGTCAAGGGAGATACAAACCGTATCCCTTGCAAGAAAAGAGGGGAACATACACTTATTTACCCTTCTTTTTCGGGACATACACTTACTTACCCTCTTGAAAAAGAAAATACGAGAAAAAGAAAGGTAACAAGTTGGATGGAAAAATTTCAGAACTAAAATATCTAAAACCTTAGCAACTTATCACAGTGTTGACTTAATCCTAACAGGTTTAGTGTTATCCTCAACCGGTTCCACAGTCATCCTCTTAAGCTCCTGCTGAAACCTCTCCACCGCCGATAGCGGCAAGCATGTTAGTACCAGAATCCCATTTTCTTCTTTGTTTTTGTGCCGAACATACAAGTTTATCATATTAACGCACTTGGCCGGTCCAGCAAACACCGGCTTCCCCCATCCGAAATCAACCTCACCAAAACCAGCACGCGTTGTGTCACCAACCACAAAGTTCCTTGTCGAAGAAAAGTCAGGTCGTCCTCTCATTACCATAAGGTCCGCCACTGATTTTATGTACTCGTCACTCATTTTAGCTTTCCCCTTCTTGACCAACTCCAACGCATATCCTATCGGATTTTTACATAAGCTTTCGACCGTTGAAACTTCGGATGGGAGTGCAAATGCATTGCCATAGTATCCCAATGGAAGACGCGCATTTCGTGCAGTAGATATACACGAAATATACACAACCTCTTTCTGATTCATCTCAAGGGCTAGAGTTCGACATTTCCACAAGCAAGCTGTTATCAAGTCAAATGTGGAGGAAGGAGAATGGTGTGCTGGAAGATGTTTCCGAATGGCGTTCAACTCCTCGGCACCAAAATAGAAAGACTTTTGGACCATGTTTTGTTGGTCTCTAACCGCAAACAAGCCCTCATCAGAATCAATCGCTTCCTCGTATTCATGATGTGTACATGTAATTCGTAGAGGATTTCGAGCGTCAAAGAGCTCACGCTGCCACACAGGCGGAATAGATGGTGTATGTGCACCATGAGCCATTTCCCCGACTCCGTTCAAGAACTGGACCATCCCAAATCCATCACACATCGTGTGGTTTATGCGCAATGCAAATATGAAACCTCCACATTTCAGACGGGTCACCTACGTTGCATAATTTTTTATGAAATTAATTTCTCGAACTAAATAAATAGAAACAGAACGACGTTGGGGGTAAAGTAATATGGATATAAATAGTGATTCTTACAAGTATGCAAGGGGCATAACATAATTGGATAAAAGAAATTGATGGTTCACTATGAGGATATTGCTACGTATTATCATAACCGTATATGGATGGCTAGACGGTTTCAAAATCGATTGAGTTTTTCTAAAAATGATCTTTAATCGATAATAAAGAGAATGAAAAGTTCCGACTGTCATGTTAGGAGGGAAGGGGACTTTTTTACTTATGAGGAAGGAAGGGAGGGAAGTACTATCCAACATATGTAATTATGGTTAACCGATCGAACTAAATCAAAGTTTTCGAAATAGAAGTACTTATTGTAAAAACGCTTATGAGCGTATATAAGTACTGTTACCTGAACTAACAGCAAGGGGCAACCGAGAATACCATCAGATCCTGGCGCATCACATAGGAACTCCTCTAAGAATGGACACGGGGGTACAAGTGCATCCCCGAGTTGCTCAAGCGTTACATCAGCATCAGCCTCTATGAACAACACACCTTCTCCAGTGCACTCCACCATAAGCTTTCTGTTAGGTCCTTCCCTGAGCCTGCCAGCTAGAGGGTAGTAAAACACCAATGCTTTACTCAGTGCTTCTTTAAGCACCTTAACGGGATCGGTTCGATCTTTCGGTATAAGAGGATTATTTTTGTAGGACATTAGAACTGGAGTTTGAAACCTAAGGCCTTCCTGGTCGTCAATATCTGATAGCAGTTTTGTTTCATGAGGTGTTGGCTTTGCCGGCGTTACGAGCTGTGACGCTAATCGGTTCACCTGAAGTACTCGTGAACATGGCAGCGACGTCATTTGATATAGTTGGCTAAATTCCTGCAACAATTTTGTATTATTAAGTAAACAGGGTTTCAATCTTTGGGGTAAGTCACTTTGCAAAAATCGATCTTCTAATTTGATCTCCAAACAAATCAAATTGTGTTTGATGATCCAAGGGCGGCTTTTGATAGAAGTCTTTACCGTGTGGAATAAGACTGCAGTAGTTCGAAAACTACCATAATTTTTCGATTTTATGCAAAAATGGTGATGTGATAAGATTGGCTTGAATAAAGGGTTAAAGATTGGAATTACATGCGACTTGAGATGACTAGTCGACTTGAGATGACTAGCCGAGAGAGATGGTTCTGTGCGAATAAATATGCTGATCCTAGCTTGTTGATTATGAGTTTGTTTGGAACTGATTATGAGTTTGTTTGGAACTGTTTTTAAAAAAATTGAAAGCGTTTTTAGAGAAACTGTTATTGAGTTTCAAAACACTTAAAATGTTTCTTGCAAAAAGCACAAGTTATATACTTCTTGCATAAAAAAGTCGTACCCAGTGCACAATAAAAGGTTAAAGATTGGAATAAAGGGTTAAAGATTGGAATTACATGCGACTTGAGATGACTAGTCGACTTGAGATGACTAGCCGAGAGAGATGGTTCTGTGCGAATAAATATGCTGATCCTAGCTTGTTGATTATGAGTTTGTTTGAAACTGTTTTTAAAAAAATTGAAAGCGTTTTTAGAGAAACTGTTATTGAGTTTCAAAACACTTAAAATGCTTCTTGCAAAAAGCACAAGTTATATACTTCTTGCATGAAGCAAGAAATTGTTTTTCCAAGATTCACTTGCCATTTTACTAAAAATTGATTCAAAAACATTTTTATTAAAAATGTTTTCAGTCATTTTAATTTAAAAATCCTTCTCAACGAGTCTCATTTTTCCAAAAGAAAGTGGTTAAGTGGATATGCAATTGCATGATGGGATTAGCACGGAAGTTGAGGGTTGGATTGGTGTGCAGATATTTGCATGTGGTTTTCAACTGACATGAGATAATACTTCAGGATTAAACTCTACAGTTGCGATTTGAATATCTAACAATTTATTCTTATAAATACAAGGTGTTGCAACGCCCTTCAACTCAACACATGAATCAACGACTCAGGCCCTTAAAAAAACACTAACTGCTCACTTACTCCTCCAAAAGTGTCTGAAATAATGAACAAATTAAAGTGTGTTTAATCCAGGGGCCGTAGAGGCTTCTGGTCATGCCAAACTCATGTCACAAGGGTTTGCTTTGTGACGCACGGAATGATGTCACAAGGGTTTGCTTTGTGACTTACGGAATTTGGTTTTGGTGGTGGAGAAACCGACACGTGTGTATAGAAGATAGAAAATGGCTAACTTGAGCCACAAGTGCTTGGTACTTACAACTTACGTTGTTTGCGAGATGCTCCACACTTCTGCACCTGTAGTTTTCCATGCCCAGACAAAGGAGTTAAAGACAACTGGTCCTTTCTTAAATAAGTGGTCCTTTCTTATGGCGTTTGTGCTGAATGGTCCTCACATTGCAAGCGTTATTAGCCTCCGCTCGCCTTGCTTGCTCGGCTGGTGGCTATGGACGACTTAACAGTCCCTCTGGACGTTGTGGACATGTCGGTTAGCGGCTTGGCTGCAATGTGAGTTGCCCTATGGTTTTCGCCTCTCAAAATACTAGGGATATGATGACTATCTAGTGAGGGATTGACTAGAGGAGAAATATGGAGCACGTTTTTCGTTTGCTCCATGTTAGAAAACACAGTGATTCACAAATTATCATATGCCCAATGTTCCGAGGCGATGTATGCTGACAATTTAGGATTTTGTCCGATGTCCATATTGTTGTAGGGCATACAAGAAGCTAAGGAAACATCTTATGACTGCTGGAAGAGATCTGATGAGTCGATTCTATATTATATATTATTTTTCTATTCTTGGTATATTTTGGTTATTATTTTGGTGAGATTTTGATGCTTTGTTATGCATTTTTAATGTAGGACATGCAAACTTGTTCTAAGCATAAAGTAATCCAACGGTGGAATTTTTTAGCGATTCCAATTGGAGCGGGTTCGTGAATCTGTAAAGAAGGTTGTCTCAAAATTTCATAATTTTATCCCAAAGCATTTGATCGTGGCGAATTAATTTATGCCCAGCGCACAATGCTAGCAGATTGGGCTGCAGAGCTTTTAGGCTGAAAGATGATGGATTTTAAACTTGGGCTCTTCTTGGAACTTGAAAAGGAGGTCTTAATCTTTAATTTGACTCATTTTGGGCCTGTTTTGGAGCCCTGAAGGTCTATAAACGTGGCTATCTCTGTGTTGGGTAGATTTCCTAGTCATAATAGGAATGTAATTCCTAGTTATGCTTTTATTATTTTATTTCCTAGTTTTTAGAGAACCTTTTCTATGAGGGTTTTAATTTGGAGTAGTATAAATAAGGCTTTTTAGCCATTAGGGTTTTTTTTTGGGGGGGGGGGGGGCGAAGGCACGCATTATTTTGGAGGACTTCAGATGTTTTACTTACAAGGTGTTTTCAATCATTTTTCTAGTTAATATATTTTCTTTAGTTTTTATAGTTGTTCATAACTAGTTCTTTTGCTAAGGCGAAGCCACAAGCCTTAGCATGAATATGTGGTTTTATTAATTTACTTATGAATGGATACATGCTTGGTTTGAATTATTAATCACCGTAATTAAACTATCTAATTGTCTTAGTGATTCGCGACCATTAGGGTTTTTAGACAAGTAATTTGATGCAATTTATGTTAGAACATCACCTTGAAATTGAAGAGGGGTTCTTGTAATTAGTAATTATAAGTTCACTTAAGGCGAACATTACGCTCTTAAGGGTTGCTTGGTTTTTTAAAGAGTTTTCACAAAGCTTAATGAGTCTTGCATGTTTATATTTGATTTAAACATCACAGACATGTTGTATGTTAGATATACGTTTTCGCTTGAACATGATCACAAGGAAAATATGCATTAGGAAAACCTAACCTTAAAGCATGTATGTAGAAATTCATAAGTAATTGGTAAAATTGCGTAGGATTGTTAATGGTGACGACGGAACCCTGGGCTTTCACAACTTTAATTTTGAAAAACGTTTTAGTTGCTATACTACGACAACCTTACACTCTTGCAAGTATTTTTAAGTGTTTTTATTCCTACTTTGCAAGTGGTAAAAATCCTATCAAGATCTAAGTTCGAATCCCCCAACCCATTGATCAAATTACTCCTTATGACACGCCTACAAATTTAACGGGATTCTTAAAAGCAACTTGGGGCAAAAGGGTTTCATGACATCTTTCAAGGGGATCTCAGTTGTGAAAATTATTTACCACATTTGTATACGGCGCCTACCATACGATAATCCCCTCACATGTTGGTCAAGTGACCATCGTGGAGGGCGTTGTAGGTGCTATATTGTATGCCAACTCGGGACCAATTAATCGTGGGGGGAGTTGTAGGTGCTGTATTGTATGCCAATTCATACAATAAGAAGAAACAGGAACAGGCACCGAACCAGACAAGAGAAAACATTACAATAACCAAACTCAAACATGCTCAATCCTTTTTTATAATCCATTTCCAATTGGGAAGTATTATTGGCAATCAAAAAATCTCATTCTACACTCCTTATAAGTGTATTTTTCTTTCTAAATATAGAAATTTTGGAGTGTAGAATGGGAAATTTAGAGCGCCAATAACAATTTCCTTCCGATTTTGCAGTTCCGAGATATTATTCTAGTTTCAGTGCACAAGGGAGGATGCTACAGTGGATCGTCATAACAAACTGATTAAAAAAAAAAAAAAACACACTACCTTATCTAACAAAAAATTGTACCGATGGAGGATACAACTGAGTAACTGAAAAAGAACATCCAAGTATAACAGATCAGGCTAAATTCCCTAAAATTGGAGGAAAACGTATCAAGCTGCTTGAACTTCAGCTGCTGGAGCACTTTCCGTACGTTTAGTCATACTTGGAACAATTTCAGTCTTCGAGTTTGGAATGTACCTCCAACCACGCTTGTGGACTCCGCTTATTTTCTTGGGGGCATCTGCGGCTGGCAAGCCTGCAACAAATTCCACTATATTCACTTTCATATAAGAGAGTAACTTAAAATCGACAAACCTAACACAGAAAATGATCAAACATTATTTTCACTGTTCTTTATTAACGTTACAGCTACAAATCTGACTCAGAACTCTAAAGAATTAGTCATTACTAAACAAAAATGACAAACAAATAGAGAATCAAGACTAACAAAAAGGAAGCCTTATATGATCCATGCAAGTGCACAGGTATTACATATGTATATGTATGCGCATGGCGGAGGTGTAAAGAGTGTCAATATCCCTAATATACTTCTCACTTGTAAATTATAACTGAAATTAGGATGCATGTTCACTGTCACAAATAAAAATACCATGACAAGGGGAGCGCTCAATAGAAAAACTCGATAATGCATTATTTCCCAACCATTCAGGATGTTTCATTTGCAAACGAACATGAAGAGTATAATTCTTACCAGATCACAAGTGGAATATACAAATGCAACCTTCATGTAAGCCGAACAAAAAAGTTACACGTTTTGGATCACCGGGGTACATAACAACGATATCAAACAACTTTGAGAACGCAAATATCAATCAGATTAGGATTCTACGACTTTTGTGCTATCGAAAACAATCACAATTATCTAGCATTTATCATTTGTGCTAGCAATGTCATAAAATCCTTGTACTGCCAATACAAATGAAACTCAATTGAACTGAGAACACGAAAAAATTCAAATTCCAGGAAATGTAAAGGTTAACTGACCTTCCTTATGAACGATTCCCCATGCTTTGCCATGTCTACCATCCTGAAAAATTAAAAACCGCATAAACCCTAAACCATTAAACCCCTAACAACAATAATAACAATAAAAAGGAAAAATGGATGAAATTCCCACATCTAATGCAAGCAATTAAATACGACAGTTCGAGGCGAAAGATCCCAACTTTGTAATCATTTTTCCACATTTTCCCAGTAACCAAACAGAGCAAAACCCCCAACAAAATCTGGGAAAATTTGGTAGCAACCAATACCTTGTAAAGATTGATTTTTGTAATCTGGTAAGAGACGCCGACCCAGTGGGTCTTAGCCATTTGGTACCCCAATCCCCAGTTGGGCAGAAACTGGGCCACCTCGAACAGGTTCTTCTTCTTCTTCCGCTTGGGTTTCTTTGACGCCGAAGGCGAAGCGGCGCCGGCGGGTGGGTTTTGGGAAGCGGTGCTGAAGCTTCGGAGGAAGCTCGATGTGAGCCTCCAGAGGCTTCCGGTTCGATCTGTTAATGCTCTGTTTGCGAGACTGCTCGCCATTTTCCGGTTCGGCTTTCTCACTCTCTCCTTTCTCTCTGTAACGAGCTTCGTTTGTGTAAATTGTGTTTTTGCGGGGAGGCGGAACTCTTTTGAGAGGTTTGTGTTATTTACGGAATGACCTCGTGAGTTTTCTCGAATTGGTAAATGACCCCTATTCCTTGAAATTATTACTTATGAGATTTTTATTTTTGAAGAAGATTGGTCCCTTCTCATTTAATTCTGCCATTCTGGTATCACATGAGGTATCATCATCGTACTTGTGGTCCTCGGGTCAAATTGTACACCAAAGTAGAGTCGGTGATCCTAATAAATTTAATCGTGGGAGTTTAAACTTGGGTTGCAGTTTCAAACTTTTGGTCGCTTTCCACTAAATCAACCGCTCGAGATCAAACATTTTAAGATACAATTGATCGCCCCTTTGGCATTACAGTAAATTCTTATTTCTTTCATATGATGAGTTTATAAGCATAACTAAGGAGTGTAGTGTTCCATATTGCAGCAACTGTCACGTGACTAGCATGTGAGAAGATATAAAGAGTATACAAAATGTTGCTTTTTGCATATGAGGAGATACTTTGAGAAGGGATAATGTGAGAATTTCAATTCCATTTAATTCAAATAAGTATTAAAATGCAATTTTTGAGGACTACAGTACTTGAGATATTAATAGATTCCAAAATTAATAAGATGCTAAAAAATCTTGTGCAACTCAAGTTTTGATATTTTGGAGATCAATCCGGGAGGATTCTCGTTGGATTTTCTTTATGAAGATTTTGAATATTCTTCAATCATATTTGTTCATCGTATTATCGTGTGGTAAAAAATTATTGTAAATTTTTTTATTTAAAATTACATATAAACAATATCTAACAAAAAACGGACATGATCAAAACTTTGAACCTCTTCTAACATCGGCAACTCATTCGACGATCTCAACATAGAGAAAGGGAAGGATAACCGGAAGTTCGATAATGCTAGCGAGAACAGAAAGTAGATAAGACAAGCAAAAGATCAATGCCAGAAAGCAAGCGAATATATCACTACCGCAAATACATAATGTCGAAAATAAGCAAAGTTACAGCACATAGCAGCAACTGGAAGTTGATATTTAAAACTTGTCCCTCGATCCCTCTCCCAACCGGAAATTCATTCATTCACATGCTACACAAACGCACTAAACTGGAAAGTCGATATTAAAAGAAGCGATACTGCTTTGACGATAGAATTACATTTCCTCCTCATACTCTTGCTGCTCATCCTCATACTCATCCTCATCGGCTGTTGCATCTTGGTACTGCTGGTACTCAGAAACCAGATCGTTCATGTTGCTCTCGGCTTCAGTGAACTCCATCTCGTCCATGCCTTCACCAGTGTACCAATGCAAGAAAGCCTTCCTCCTGAACATGGCAGTGAACTGCTCGCTCACTCTCCTGAACATCTCCTGGATGGATGTCGAGTTCCCGATGAAGGTTGATGCCATCTTAAGCCCGGTTGGTGGGATGTCACAGACGGTTGACTTGACATTGTTGGGGATCCACTCAACAAAGTAGGAAGAGTTCTTGTTCTGCACATTCATCATCTGGTCATCAACTTCCTTGGTGCTCATCTTACCACGGAACATGGCTGATGCTGTTAGGTAACGTCCATGTCGGGGATCAGCAGCACACATCATGTTCTTGGAGTCCCACATTTGCTGGGTGAGCTCTGGAACAGTAAGGGCCCGGTACTGCTGAGAGCCACGTGAAGTAAGAGGAGCAAAGCCCACCATGAAAAAGTGGAGACGGGGGAAGGGGATCAGGTTAACAGCAAGCTTGCGCAGATCAGAGTTGAGCTGACCAGGGAACCTCAGGCAGCAAGTAACTCCAGACATTGTTGCAGAGATCAAATGATTCAAATCACCAACTGTAAACATCAAAGAAGAAACAGAGACATCATCAGCAATCAGAGCCCCATGAGGAAGCACAAATCAATCAAGGGGCATGTAGTTCAACATCGTATATGTTTAATTGCAACCACATATCAACAAATCATGCTTTCAGAACCCAACAATAAAAAATAAAGAAGCACAGAACATTTAATCATCCATTGCTCACCAAACCTCATTTTACAAGAAATCAATTCATGCTATCGGAAAGCAACAATATAAAAGATAGTAAAAGTAGGAAAGGGATCCTCTCCGGATCCCTTCCACTAAGTCCATTCATCCGGGTAATTAAAATTTGATCCAATGGCTAAAACTTTTAAAGAGGCCCCTGCTTGTAGCCCCGTTGGATCAAATTTCAATAGCACGGATGAGTGAACTTAGTGGAAGGGATCCGGATCCCTTTCCATAAAGAACATTCAATCATTCATTTCTAGCCAAAAAAATTTTCGACTTCAAAAAAAATGACACCTCATTTACTTTCACAGTAATTACCATGACTCACCACAAAAAGTAACATCAGAACAGAGACTTCATGATGTCAAAACCCAACTAAACTTAGACGTTCAAACTTTCATTCATTGCCAAAACTCCTTTTTCTACAGAAATGAATGACAACCCACACTACTCAACAATCAATAAGAAAAAACCGTATAATTCATGACCGACAAACTCAAAAACGAAACATGATTGGACATTCAAATCATGCAACAAATAATCATCCAACAAAGAGTAATTAACATGGTCAAACAACTTGACATTTAGATTAAGAGTAAACCAAGATCTATAAACACACAAACACGCACAAAATTGACTCAACCAAACAACAAAGAAAATAGATCTGAGCAAACTTACAGCTGGGGGTGGTGAGCTTAAGTGTGCGGAAGCAAATATCGTAGAGAGCCTCATTGTCAAGAACCATGCACTCATCAGCATTCTCCACAAGCTGATGAACCGAAAGAGTAGCATTGTAAGGCTCCACAACAGTATCTGAGACCTTGGGAGATGGGAACACAGAGAACGTCATCATCATCCGATCTGGGTACTCCTCCCTGATCTTCGATATCAGAAGTGTTCCCATCCCAGATCCAGTACCACCTCCCAACGAATGGCACACCTGAAACCCTGCACCACCAAATCACAAGCCAATATTAGGGTTTAACCGATCCAGAAATGTAAACCCCCAAATCTCAGAATCTCAGAAAATACAGTTAGGGTCTCGTCATTTCGGTAAACTAGGGTTTAATCGACACAGAAATAAAATACCCAATCTCAAAATCTCACAAATTACAATTAGGATTTCGTCCGAGTTCACACATACCTTGCAAGCAGTCGCAATTCTCCGCCTCCTTGCGAACCACATCGAGAACGGAATCGATCAACTCTGCACCCTCAGTGTAATGACCCTTGGCCCAGTTGTTCCCAGCACCCGATTGACCGAAAACGAAGTTGTCAGGGCGGAAGATCTGGCCGTACGGCCCAGATCTGATGCTGTCCATGGTGCCAGGCTCCAGATCCATGAGCACGGCGCGAGGAACGTAGCGGCCACCGCTAGCCTCATTGTAGTAGACATTAACCCTCTCAAGCTGGAGCTCGGAGTCACCGTGATAGCGTCCGGTGGAGTCGATGCCGTGCTCGGCGCACACCACCTCCCAGAACTTGGCCCCGATCTGGTTGCCGCATTGGCCTCCCTGGATGTGAAGGATCTCACGCATTTTCGGTTCTAGGGTTTCGGCGCAGAGTAAATCGGCAGATCTAGGGGGAGAGAGAGAGAGAGAGAGAGAGAGATGAAGTTTTAGAGAGAGAAAGAGGGGGAACGGCGAAGATGAGGGGCAGCGAGGGAGTAAGAGGGCGGATATATAGAGGGAGTGAGCTGTAACCCTACAACGGCTCTTTGCTAATTTATTTAATTATTTAATTTTCGAATTTTTCATTGGCTGTTTAAATTAACTGGAATGGGGAGAATCAACGGCTGGATTTGCGCCACCTAATTTGATGGGTGCGGAAACGGTTTTAAATTTTTAGAGCCTAAAACGAAGATTTTGAATTTTAGAATTAGGGATACAGCTGGATACGGTGTGGCCCACTGGTTTATTTACGATTCCAGGATCCTGAAATTGCGAAATGACGGAATTGCCCCTTGCCGATCTGGTTGGTGCAGGTTCGATATCACGTGATGTGAGACTGTACAGCCTCGAGGTCCGTGGTATAAAAGGTTATTCGTGATCTGTTACAGCGTGGGGATTCTGGCATTGCTTGCGGTCGAATCCTGACCCCAATTTTTAAACCACTGATAAAAACCTTTTTTGGTTTGGTAAAGATATTTTAAGCAACTAAGAAATATCAACTTATCAATTTAACATTACGGTCTAACGATACTTTTTTATTTATAAATGAAATGTCTTATGTTTTATAGTCTTTAACGTATGCTAAAATGTTTTGAGTTTGATTACTATGAAGAAGCTTTACTTTCACACCCGAAATATATCTGGATAGCGAGAGAAATTTATAGAGATTCAGCGTTACATGGTATTCTGATCTAATAATACAATATCACATAAAGAAAAACTTACATATAAATTATAACATTGTATTATTTAACCAGAATGCCACAACATGCGCAAAACAGACAAATTGGCCCAAACCGTGCCCACCCATAATAATACACACTTTGAATATTTTCTCCCTCGTTATGCATAAAAGTAAATCGGAACATAACATATTTTCTTTTGTCAATTCTGTTTTTCTTTAACAAGAAAACATAGAAGTGGTATCACTAAACGTCTCTCGTAAATATAGCCTACACAATCATTCGTTTACAACCATATTACCCAAAATTGCAAAACAAAACGCAGTTAAACAAAGGCCTTGAAAGGCATTAAAGTTGGCAAGGTAAGGAGCCTCCATCGCCGAATAACCTTCCGATGTACAGCTTCGCGAGACCCACAGACACGCTTTGAGAATAAGGTAGCACTAGGAGAAACAATAAGCAAAGCAACCATCCTACATTGTCTCACTGTGCAATCATGCTATCAGTCCCTGCACCACACTGCAATCTTTATCAAACACTTTACTTCGTTAGCAATTTTCTCCGAAAAAAACCATCCTAGCGTTCGCCTTACTACGTTGTATTCTTTTTTCTTCGGACTGGAACCCTGCGTTATTCTTGTTCCTTCGTAATTGAACAAAGATGCGTATTTCTGAGACTAGTATTAGTTCAAACGCGATTATATTTAAAACACACTAAAACAATCAAATACAAATATTTCAGTCCTTGGGTTCATGTAAAAGGCTAAAACATCTATAGCAAGGACAGTGTTTAAAAACAAGGATAAATTTCTAAGCGACGAAAACTTCTCAGGTTGTGTATTATTATTTAGGTTGCTCAAGGGATGCTTTAGCAGACGCCAGATATCACTAGATGCAATCTTATAAAGAACTTTCATGGCATGAATCATGTCCACCAGAGTTATCCATAGAAATTATGGTAACACTGTTCAACAAAACTAAGATTTGGTGTACTGCTTTCACAATCGAAAGAACGCCACTCCTTCCCTTCCTAAACCACAAAAGGGGAATGCCAAGGGATCTCTCTCAAAGTGGAACTCTCTGACACTTCAGCGTTTAACGTCAATTTCCGTGTCAATATTATTAAACATTGTGCTAAAAACATGAGGTGACAGAGAGTTTATAGAGAGATCCACTTTTGAGAGAGTCCCCTTAGCATTTGTCACCACCTAAACTCTGATGGAAAACAAGAAAACCGGTTTTTTCCCTTCCTCAACCACCCGAACTTTTCTAAAGAAAATTACAGTGGTAGGTGATGGTGAAAGGATGTGTTTTGTGTGCGTGAGAGAGAGAGAGAGACTTATCAGCTGTTGAAATAGATAAAAATATTGCTACCAAAATATTAAAAAATATATATTTAGAGTTCAACCGGCAAGGCTGCCTCAAAACATCAACATGAACCCGAATCTATGCATATGGAAAATTGATAGGAAGTGATTGCTATAGTTGAAGGAGAGTAATTGCAAAATTCATTCAAAAGTCAGCATACAAACAGAATTGAATTTATTGTTAGAGAACGTATATGACAAAGCATTAAGGATGTGGTGTTCTTGGGGTGCTGCCCACCCATGTTGAGGGCGGCAAGGGCGATGGCCACAACCACGACCACCATGGGCGGAGATAATATAAAAAAAACCCTAGCCATCAAACTGTCCTAGATAAATCATGATCCCTAACCCGTTCCAAGTAGACATCTTAAAATGTAAGCCCCATGGCCCCTTAAAGTTAGTATCTATATATACCTAGTGGATGGAAGGTAATCAAAATTACATGTCTCCTAAGGTTTCCTAAGATTTATCCTAGCACTTCAAAAGATGTAAATATACTCTTCGTAAAAATGTAGAAGCAGATGAAACCCGACATGTAAGCAGGTCATATAATCAACACTAAGAAGCTAATTTTGCCACAACTAAATAAAATCTGTACATTGAACACAACCTTACCACATCAAAAATAGATGACAGAGTAAACCTTTTTCTGCTAAACTTTCAGTCCATATGGAGTCTTCTTGCCAAAAAATGACGGGTTGAATTGAAAAGATCTAGAATAGAAAAAGAGAAATTCCACCAAAAAGAAAAATCAACAACAAATCGACCTTAGAAGCTAAAAATAACATGACAGTGTTAGCATAAAATCGTCAAGTCCGTAGTAAAACAAATAGCAATAAAGATAAAAACCGAACTTATGAAATGGTTCAAGCCTTTCCCCGTATGTAAAACTAATAAGAGAAGATCTACAAGGCTTTCCAAGATTAAAAGGCTAGCAACCTTGGTTTAGGTATTCAGATTACCTTTTATTTGACTCGTTTAATCTTTATGTCTTATGTTGCTTTGTAGATGATAGTATTGCTTCTACTCCTAGTCGTTTTATTTTTTATATATTTATAGTCGGATGATAGTTTTGTGTGTTTGTAAGTAACTTATGGAGGCCTAATTGAATAGTTATTGAAGTAATCAAGGCTAGGATGCTAAGGATGTAACCCTAGTATACATACCATTACGAGACTTTTTATGCAGGTCTGTTATTCCAGAAAATTAGATACTAGTCTCTTTTACGAATTTCATTGTTCTCTCTCGTTTTGATGTTGTTTCGTGCAGGATATCCTTCTCTACTCTATAGTTTGTTTTGCTTTGCTACAACAAACAGACAGTAGCTTCCGCTTCTGTCCTACACCAATTAGCACAAAACCAATCAGATGACGACTGAGCTGCAGAATATACAGCTGAATTGTGGAGACCAAGTTGTTCAATTAGTTTCACACCATTCCAACCCATATAGCCAGTACACCTAATATTGGTTTCATTTGTATAATTTATCAGCAAAACAAAATACCCTTCAAGTATATGTCAATTTGCAAGCCATCAAAACAGATAACAATATAATAGATGCTGCAGTCCAACAAGCAAAATCATGAAGCCGTCTCTGCTAGCTACTAAAAGCTACTAAAAAGGAAAAGTCTAGGATTTATGATTTCATGGTCTCTAAGATACCTAATTCCTTAAAGTCTCTCACGTTTTCTTAAGAGTCAGCGTGCAAAATTCTGTGTAATCTATATTAATATGTACTCCAGTGACTGCCTTCTATAAAAGCCTGTACACCTCAAATATTTAGTTTTGAAGCCTACTGTGGTACTAGTGATTGACATTATTTCTCACAAAGTTCATTCGTTTTGCAGAAATATTCATCTTTTAGAAAACACTACTTTAACACTTCCAACTAATTGGGTAAAATTATGCTGAATTGTTAGTTATAACTAGTCTGCTTAATGTGGTCAGTCCAATCTCTACCGACTGAAGGCCAAGGATCAGGTTGATTGCATAAAATTATCTCTGCCTAAAATAGAAATGATGAAGCAAGTCAGACAGCAGCAGTGTCATTACATTTAAAAACAGATATTCTTGTCGACAGTAGTGACAAAATTGACGATAATGCAAAATTCACAGAGTTACATACAGCATAAAGGAAAATGCTTATAGCTTCAACATTCAAAGTAAATGTCCATGTTTAGCAATGATATATTTTATAACCATAAATACATATCTGAGAGCAGTAAAACTTAAACTTAATACATTGCTGGTCACCATAATTTTCTGGGAGCAGTTGAATAAACTTAATAAATAAGATTAAAAGAGTCAAGCATACATTCGAAAATGCTATAAACCAATGCCATCTCAATAGTACCAAATGCAAAAGGAAGTGATAGCAATATACCACTTTTGAACCGATAATGACAATGTCAACGAAAAACAATCCTAGTGAAAGTAGAAAACTTGAGAGTCAAAAACAACAAACTTAACTGCCATTGAACTCCAGTTCCATATACCATCTCCATTAACATGGCGGCAACCTGAAATGACAAAACTAGCATAAACCACCCTGAATCTAGAAAAAAGAGGCATGGAAGGGTGCATCACCTATATTGCTAACGCAATAATACCAAAGAAACAATTGGACCCCAAGTGAAATGAAACCAAAGAGATCCACATTACAGCACACATCATCCATCAATGCTGCTTTTCTCCCCGGGCTTTAAAGCTGGATTTTTTTACTTATTTTCATCCTCTACCAAGGACTGATCACCAGAGGTTCTACAAAATGAAGAAAAAATAATAAACGAAGCATCAGACTTTATTAAGACAAAAAAAAGGTCGTACCCAGTGCACAAGGCTCCCACTTTACGCAAGGTCTGGGAGAGGTGAATGTCGGCTAGCCTTACCCCCATTTATGGAGAGGCTGCTCCCAAGTCTCGAACCCGAGACCTACCACTCATAGGCGAAGGCACTTGCCATCGCACCAAGTGCGACCTCTTTTTTAAGACAAAGTTTGAAAATAATGATAATGATTTTGGTCAATAGCCAATTAGTAACTATGTGCTCAGAGAACTTACAGTTTCTGCTTTTTGGCATTTTGCTTGATGGTTCGCACCATATCCATAGCCATCTTCTGGTGTTCCCTTGTTTGTGAATGCAAGTCTAAACCTTCAACTGTTTCACAATCAACTTTACATATCCGGCACCATCCCATACTAGCTGGTTTCCTTTTCCTTAAGTGATCAAAAGACTCTAGATCTCCCTGAAGATATCAAGAGCATAAAAAATTGAACTAAAAATCAAATACAATAAAATATCAGAATGGAAGCTGTAGTAATATGAGAACAGAAGAACATCACTTAACACACACAGATACTTGAAGTAATACTTAACTGTGTAAGCTCCATCAGTTGGAAATCTCTGAAGTGAAAAGCTGCTCCTAAATCCAGGCTCACCAAGACGTGGATGGCTTGTCCTCTTGCCTCTAAATGATTCAAAGTTCCCAGGTCCAGTCATGTCTCCAATCCGTGGATGACGATCACCAAAACCCATAGTTTCTCTCAAATGCAAATGATTATGCACATTCTGATGACCCAAATGATCTCCCCTCCGAAGATGACCAGGGTGCCCATCAACAATTCGCATATTACCAGGCCCCTCAAACTCACCCCGTCGAAATTGACCAGGAAAATTAGAAAGCCTACCCTCATGGAATGAATTTCCATGTGGATCACCAAATCGATGAAAGTCTCTTCTATCAAAATCATCAGGGCCAAAGCCTCTAAACCCATGAGATGGGATCGCAGGGTAATCTCTAACTGGGCTTCGGGGAGCCAAAACATCCATATGGCGTCGTCCAACAAAATCTGGACGACCGCGAGAAGGCTCCATTCTCCCAATATCTCCAGCAGCAGGATCTGTATTCAGACCCATATCATACTTGAGCCCATGAGGTCCCTTATCAAAGGGCCTTGATGAATAATTCCCAAATTTAGAAACAGGATCAGAATCCAGATACGAAGGCCTAGGGAATTGCTTGAGATCATCTTCAAACGCTACCCGGTCAAAACCACGATAAGTTGGATCTGCTGGGAAGGGATTCATTCGTTCGTCTGGAAAAGCCTTGAACTTTTCATCCCTCAACCCATGAACTGATGAGGAGTCGAGGCCTGGAGTTCCATTCATTCTCAACATATTTGGGGGGATACCAGATGGCTGTCCAATTGCTCCTTGATCAATCTGAAAGGCAGGCCGCTGGTAACTCCTATGACCTTCAGGGCCATATGGTGCCATCATTCCACTAAATGGAGGGCCTCCAACAGGTTCACCTTGCATCTTGGGAGCCCCTGTATGGGAAGGAGGTAGTACACCTTGAGGACCATGCTGACCTCCCCTTCCAGAGGATGGTCCAAAACCCGGGTTGGGACCAGGTGGCTGCAAATGCTCAGATGGATGAAAAGGCTGTCCAGGTACATGTGCAGGTCCCTGAGGTCTTAAATGAGCCAAGGGCTGCCCAGGCCCCTGTGTATGATGCGGAGGTGCACCAGGCCCTTGGGGGAGTATAGTAGGTCCATGATGTATTGATACAGGATGTGAAGGTTGTGTAGAGCCACCAGCTTGTACTTGAACAGTTGGAGCTGGAGTAGATACAGCTTGAGAACCCCCGCCAGCTTGTATTTGTACATTGGAAGGCTGCAGAATGCCACTAGCATTCTTCTGCAACCTTCGACCCTGTTCTTCATGAAGTTGAGCTTCTTCCGATGGGATTTCTTTTGCGCCCTCAGCTACTTCACCCAATTTACCATTACTTGAGTGCTCCATAGCACTATCCATACCCTCTTCCTTCAACATTGGGATATTTACAGAACCTCCATTATCAAGTGCATGTAAATTTGGATCTGCCTCCGACAAGCCCCTAGACTCTGGAATCTCCTTGAAAGATGTATCCCCCTGATTAGGTTTAACTCCACCACTAGGTTTATGCTCATCATCAACGGACTTCATACCCATCTCAGATTTCACGGATTTAAATTCAGCATCATGTGCAACATTCTGACCTGATGACTCAGATTCTTTCTCCGCTTGCCTCTCAGACATAGTTGGTCTTGAGTTTGCTCCAGATTGCACTGGGTTGTTTGTTCTGACCATATTATTCTGATTTGTAGATGGATGGTTTACAGAAGAATGCATTGGCCTCACCTGAACAGCAGTTTGTCCATAAGGCTGAGGTTGTACTCCATGACTTGGCATCATAGGTCTTCCGACAAGATTAGACTGAGTATGTTGAATGCCCTGAGACTGTGTAGAGGCATGAATATGTTGAGGGAACAGATGAGATTGGCTCTGGGGACGTAACTGTGTAGATGGTTGCTGCTGTACATATGGCTGATGGTGGAAATACTGCTGAGGCATCGGTTGTTGAACTGCTTGCATAATAGGGCGCTGGTAGACTGAATTTCCAGGTTGCTGAGCATAAGAGGGAACTGGCTGCTGTTGTGCAGGATTGATATTTTGGACTTGACCGGGTGAAGGCAACAAAGCTGGCTGCTGCTGGTTTGGAATTGTTGTATGAGATGAAGGCGGACGCATGAGTGGGGGTGTGGAGGAAACTGATTCGGCATTTGAACAGGAGTCTGTAACTGAGAGTGAGGCACACCTTGAGATTGCACGTACATATTGTGTTGCGCTGGTTGGTGAAGGTGAGGTTGAGGATATGAGTTATTGCCAGACACGGGATGAGATGGTGGATGCTGTGCCTGAGGTTGGACAGCAGCATTCATGGGCTGAGAAGGGTGAAGTTGGGGATGGTGTTGAACCTGTACCTGTTGCTGAGGTTGTGACTGAGACTGGGGTTGAGAAAGGGGATGGTGCTGCGGTTGAAGATGGGCCTGGGTATGTTGCTGAATTTGGGGCTGCTGATACGGAAGCACTTGCACCTGTTGAGAATGAGGCTGTGACTGAGATGGAGCTTGGAAATATGGCTGTGTCTGCCCATGAGCTGCTGGGTAAGTCTGCACTGTCGGGTGGAGTTGCTGCTGTTGGTTGGCTTGTACCTGATTTTGAGTTTGAGCCACAACAGGAGCCTGGCCATTTGGAGGCTGAATTTGGGGTTGAGCTTGAGCTTGAGAAATTTGGGGCTGTAGCAGAGGTTGAGTTTGGGGCTGTGGCGGAGGTTGAGTTTGAGGCTGAGGTTGCAAGTATGTCTGAGGTTGATTCTGGACGGTCCCATATGGTGGCTGAGCCTGCTGTTGTTGTGGAACTGCTGGCTGTTGATAGGGATAGTAGTTCTGATATTGCTGTTGATATGGGTCATATCCAGGATACAGCTGGTAGTACTGTTGATATTGTTGCTGCTGCTGGTACCATTGATCAGCAGTCGGCACAGCCGCTTGAGCTTGAGAACTTGAGTTTACTTTCTGATTTGGATCAGATCCAGGTGCAGTGGCACTTGTAGTTTGAGAAACCGGGGCCTGAGATGTAGTTGTTCCTGTTTGAATTGCAGCCTGGGATTGATCAGCAGTAGCTGCTGATGTGCCAGAAGCAGAAGTGTGCAGAGCAACCTCTGCCTGCTGCGCTTGAGGCTGCACACCCTGTTATTGAAAGATAACCATAAAAACCAACTGAGTCTGATAGTCAAAGGATTGAAAATTAATACAACAAACAAACGAAAATACTTACAGGACATGTTTGTGCATGTTCCTGCACATGACGATGCACAATTTGGACTCCACCGGTTGCATACTACAGGAGAATTGCCAAAGGCACATCCAGAACAATGAGGTGTGCACTCGGATAATGGTCCCTGCCATGTGCATCCACTCCTGTGAAATAAGCAATGAACTAGTATTTTGCCAATGGTATCAGAGAGGGCCTTATTTGACTCCGTGAGTGGCTGCATTGATTAGTGTCAAGGTTTATCAATAAATAGACAACAAGGAGTAAAGGTTTTGCAACAACCAAGGTTGTATAAGGAAGGACCTTGGCATCTGCTTCTGTCACTAAGTAGCCATCATATGGGCAAGCTTGGGTGGTGCTCACAACGTATGTCAAACAGGGCTTGCAATACAGATGAGTACATTGCGACTGTAGTGCTTCAGTTGGGTAAACAAGCAGACGACAAACCGGACAAAAGTACTCTCCGGCAAGAGACTGGATGTTCAATATGCACTCATTGTCAAATCCCATGTCGCCCTATCAATTCAGCTTCAAGTCCTAGTGCATCAATGCTATCAACCCGAATGAGCAAAAAAATTGAGCCCTTGGTGAAGAAAAAGAACCATTCATTTTTCCATCAGCATTACTTGGTTCAAAATCATAAAACAAATCATAAACTGACCAAACTCATTAAAGCAATTTGCCATTTTTACAAAACCAAACACGGAAACAGGGAACACAGCCAGTGATATGCAAGTGGATACATGAAAATCCAAAATGCACCCATCACTCGATTAGCATTTGGTAATAATCAGAAAATCACATTAAAACAAAAACAATGAGAATCAAACCTTCCGATGCGAAGAACAAGGCAGGCTTATAATATAATCAAATCAAGTTTTTTGTTCGTTATCAGATTCAGATGGGTGCGGTTTCCACTTTCCCAAGTCCAAACTGATTTAAATACAACAATTATATCAAAAGATTTAAACTTTTCCTTTCCAAATTTCTATTCCCAAACTTTCTCAGCAGCCAAACATGTTAAAGTAAGAGAATTTCGGTACCTTGGAGATTCTCTGCTGTCTGCCAATCCGATTCGCGACCCTAAAACCCTAGCCCAGCTTAAACCTGTAAAAAAAATGGAAAAATTGAATAAATCTTAGGGCTTTCATGAACGAAATTGTTGTGCGCCAAGAGTAAATCGAGTGTGAAAAAGTTACAGTTGGCGCGGATTGGTCGAGAAACGCAAAAAGTCTCTCGGCACAAGAGAGATGCTAATTGCGAACGGAAGACCGGCGCAAGAAGACCACGGTGCTTATAAAACAAGTGTGTTCTTTTTTCTGTCAAAAAACAAGTTTATGCTTGAGCACTTGTTTGTGGTCATGTTATATTCTTTTTTTTCTTTTTTTCTTTTGTACTCTAAATTTTTATTTTTTTTTACTAAAATCAAATCTCAATTAATGAATTAATCCAAATCAAATTTCGGCTAAATTTCTATGAAATAACAAGGATATATTAGTCGACAGAAAAAAAAAACGATATATTAGAAACGGTTTTTTAGTTAAAATGGTCATTGAAATTTGTATAACACATAATTTTGGTTCTTAAGATCAATAGAACTGGTTCACCATCTATTATTTTGGTCATTCTGTTAAAAAACTTCGTTAAGTTGAGGGTATTTTTAGCCAAAATGGTCCATGAGATTTGCATAACACATAACTTTAGCCTCTAAGATTGTCCATCATCCATCATTTTGGTCATTCCGTTAAAAAGCTCAAGGATTACTTAACGGAGTTTTATAATGGAATGACCAAAATAATGGATGGTGAACAATTTCAAGGACCACTCCTATTGATTTCCAATTCCAGATACTAAAATTATCTGTTATGCAAATCTCAAAAATCATTGTTGTCAAAAAGCCATTAGAAACTGATCAGTTAAGTAATTACGATGAAATTAAATTATTTCAGCCAAAAGGCCTTTATTTTTACATATATTTTATTATGAGATTGTGGCATGTGTAGCGCTTTTTTTCTTCTTTTCTATTGTTTTGACCCACATCACTAGTGCAACAACGCCGAGAGTGTTGGAGATCATACTTGAACAATTACGATGAAATCACGTCAATATTTTATGTTGTTTTTCTAATAAAAATAATAAGACAAAAAATAATATGCGAGAGGAGGTGAAGAAAGAGGGTGGGAATAAGAGAGTAGAGAATCCTACTCCGTTGGGCCACAGAGGCAGAGGGAGTAATTGATGTTTAATTCGGGAAATGGCATGTTAAGATGTGGCAGAGGAGAAATTTTTTAAATTTACTCTTCAGCTTCTTGGCTCTTCTATTTGGTCTGCTAGTTAAACATGTGAGGGATACTTCTTTCCGAGGGTGCATTCATCAGTTGTATTTCGACTACTGATAAATCCCTCATCCCTTCGAATGCAGTGTGTTGATGCACAAAATCAGCGAAGACTTTGGTACAACAGAAAGTGTCAGGTTTTGTGACCTTCGCTTGGTTGCTTCGGTCACTAGTGAGGATAAGTACGTAAATGAATAGAGACAGAGAAGCAAACACAGGATGTACGTGGTTCACCCAGATTGGCTACGTCCACGGAGTAGAGGAGTTCTTATTAGTAGTGAAGGGCTTACACAAGTACAAAGGATCAAGCTCTCAATTTAGTGAGTTCTTGTGAATGATTTAACACAAAATGGCATTAGGCAATATTGTGGGGGAATGACCCCTATTTATAGAAAAACTTGTAGCTTTGTCACATTGACATGTGTCATGTTATGATTGGTTCTTGATGTCGACACGTGCTGCGCTCTGATTGGCCTCTAATCTTGACACGTGTCGAGTAGTGATTGGCCTCCTGGTCGGAGGGGAACTCTTCTGGGTCCTTGACAGTATAGTGTTGGCCGGTGCTCGGTAGTTTCGGGATTGGTCAAGTATGGTACAAACAGTGCTCCCCTAAGTTCCCGAGTGAGGGAAACTCCTCGGTTGGGGACTTGCAAGATCCAATCCCTTGAGTAATCACGAAACTTCTAAGTACCGAAGTGTGGTCTGATCTTCATCTGCCCTTCCTCTCTGGAAGTACCTTTCCTCCATCCGGGAATGGTGTATTTAGCTGATGTTGACGCACAAGGTAATGTATCAATTTTGGATGAAGCTTAGTTGTAGTTTCGGGCTTAGTCAAGTGTGATACAAACCCTATAGTAGGAGTCCCCCAAGTCGCCGAGCTAGGAGATCTGCCGAAAGAGGTGACAGACAAGGTAAGCAGTCAAACTTCCAAGTAAGCAACCCAGGATCAAAGGTTTGACTTCGGCTTCCGGTTGATTGTTCTCCTTTCTCCTTGTCTCTCATTCAACTGCCAGGATAAGGAGAAGCAAATGGATAAGAGATGATATGAGATACTTTTGCTTTTGAAGAAGTAACTTTCCACAGGCTTATTCTTGAACTGTGCTGGAGGGTTTTCTGGTGCCCTTCAGAGTATAAGGCCGACTCAAAAATTTGAGGGTCAAAACAAGTCCATCAAATCTAGAGTACGTTCGACCTTGATGATATGGGATACTTTTGCTGTTGACGGAATAATGAATGTGGTATGGAAAGGTGTCGTGCTGTAGTGATCTGTTTCAGCTCACCGTTGAACCTTCTGCTTCAATCTTTTGCATGGCAGAAGTGGTGTGCAACCTTTGCATTTAAATGGTCCTTCAGAACATTCCTTCATAGTGACTCATCCACGCTTGGCAGCTTCAGTGTAAAGAGCCAATATCTGATCAAACTGTCATGAGGCATTTGCCGGTGGAATTCGTGACCTTGACAGCAGTTGAGGATGAGTACTCGAGAGCAATGCTAAGTAAGCAACCAGGCAAAGGCTCCAGGCAGTCAGTTCCAAATTGGAGGTTTGATTTCAGGTTCCGACTGACTGCTCTCTTTCTCCTTGTCCTGCAGGTGTGGACAAGGACAAAGACAAAGACAGGGAGAAAGCATGATATGGGATACTCTTGCTTTCGACCCTGATGATATGAGATACTCTTGTTCTTGGTGTGGCTTATTTGCTGAGGTATTATCGGGGGGAAATAAAGCTGAGTATTTCGAGAGGTTATGTTGAGGGTGCCTTTTCGAATGCGAGAAAGGGTTGAGCATTTTTGCAGGTTTGCCTGTCCGTTGAGGAGGGAGGTCAATGTATATAGGGATTTCCAATAACAAGTAGTAATGCTATTCCTTTACCCTTCTTGGTCACAGCAATGTAGTGGGAGCTGCCAGCTTCACGTGTTTTAATTTTGTCAGAGCACTTTGAAAAAGTGGTATGTGGTATCTGGAAAGCTGATATTACGTGTGGAGATTACAGACAAGCTTTATCTAAGGAAATCTGGCTCTCGAAGTTCTGAGAGTTGTGCCTCTTCGGTTTTCGAACAAGCAATCCCGTCGAGGATCTGACTCTCGAGATTCGGAAAGCGGTGCTACTCCGGTTTTTGAGAAAGTAATTATGTTGGGAGTCTTTTCTCGAATGTGAGTAAAGGTTGGACGTTCTTGCCAACCTGTCTTGCCGCAAAAACACGGAGGTCGACACACATAGGGACTTTCCAGTTGTCAAGCAGTGGTGCTGTTCCTTTACCCTTATGGGTAATAGTAAGGTAGCTGGAACTTCGAAATTCTCGTGCCTAAACTTTGTCAGAAATCTTTGACAAAGTTATATGTGGTACCCGAGGAGTTGATGGTGCATATGGAGAGCGGTGATTGAATCAGTAAGATTCACACGTGCTTTCTACTTCACCAGAAATCTTCGACAGAGTGCCCCGTAATTTCCGCAAAGCTGATTGTGCATGTGACAGGTGCTGACGAGGCTGAAAAAGCAGGTGCTTCTTCGATTTCTGAGATCGGCCCTCGTGGTCTCTGAGCAGCCCAGCTTTTGAGAAAGCAAACACCTCTTCGATTTCTGAGATCGGCCCTCGTGGTCTCTGAGCAGTCCAGCTTTTGAGAAAGCAAACGCCTCTTCGATTTCTGAGATCGGCCCTCGTGGTCTCTGAGCAGTCCAGCTTTTGAGAAAGCAAACGCCTCTTCGATTTCTGAGATCGGCCCTCGTGGTCTCTGAGCAGTCCAGCTTTTGAGAAAGCAAACGCCTCTTCGATTTCTGAAGCTCCGTCGAGTGCAAATTTTTATAGAGGCTGGCATTAAGTTCCACAGCACACTTGAATCTCTACCAGTAGAAGCTCATTTCTTGCACTTCTAAGATCTTGATTTGTCTGACCTCTTCCTTCTTCAACACATTTGAAAATGTCTGGACCCTCCGACCGTCGTTTTGACTTGAACCTTGGAGAAGAGACAGCCATGCCTTCTCCAGACAACATATGGCGCCCATCCTTCATATCCCCTACTGGTCCTCTTACCGTTGGGGATTCTGTGATGAAGAATGATATGACCGCTGCGGTGGTGGCCAGGAACCTTCTCACTCCCAAAGATAACAGACTACTTTCCAAACGGTCTGATGAGTTGGCTGTTAAGGATTCTCTGGCTCTTAGTGTTCAGTGTGCAGGTTCTGTGTCTAATATGGCCCAACGCCTATTTGCTAGAACCCGCCAAGTTGAATCATTGGCGGCTGAAGTGATAAGTCTCAAACAGGAGATTAGAGGGCTCAAGCATGAGAATAAACAGTTGCACCGGCTCGCACATGACTATGCTACAAACATGAAGAGGAAGCTTGACCAGATGAAGGAATCTGATGGTCAGATTTTACTTGATCATCAGAGGTTTGTGGGTTTGTTCCAAAGGCATTTATTGCCTTCGTCTTCTGGGGCTGTACCTGGTAATGAAGCTCCAAATGATCAACCTTCCGGTGCCTCCTCCTTCTGGGGTTTTGCCTAGTACTGAGGCTCCGGATAATCACCCTCCGGTGCTTTCTCTTTCTGGGGCTCTACCGACTGCTGAGACTTCTCCTGAGCAACCTTTGTGAAGGCTCCCTCTTGTTTGTTTATTTTGATTCATGTATATGTACATATTTGTAACTTATCGGAAAATATCAATAAATAAGCTTTGCTTCATTTCAACGTATTGTGTTAAATACACCAAAGCCTTCTTCACTAAGTTCTTTGAATTTTTGCTTTTGTTGAAACTTGTATTGTTGAAGCTTTGTGAGTGAAGCATGTAGGTTTGAGGTAGTGCTCCCTTAATTTCCCGAGTGAGGAAAACTTCTCGGTTGGAGACTTGAAAAATCCAAGTCACTGAGTGGTCGTGAGACTTTTGAGTATCAAGGTAGTAGCATATGGTAGGAGTCCCCCAAGTCTCTAGTCGAGGGAGTTGACGAATGAGGTGTCTTGCTAATAGTCCATGTCGTAAGTACCAAAACTTCATTATTTTGTTTTCTAAGTG